AACTTTAAGTTCTGTAGTTTAATTGTTACATACGGGATGAATTGTAAAATACTAGTAGTCTATAAAACTAAATTAAGAATAATTTTTTGTAATAAATTTGATTACATGCTCTGTGTCCCATTCTCTAATTGTACAAACAACTTGTACCATTAGGATAGTATTGTTGCATGTTAATAACTACTAACAGACATTAGTACACTGTCCTGTTTTGTTAAGTGTAGAACTAATCTATCCTGTTGAAACACCACCAGCATAGATGGTATTCATGACACTTGTTTAAAGCAGTTGCTATACTTACTATTCTTAATTAGATTCCATAATCTAATGATTGTATGCTACAGGCTGATGAATCCATTATCCTCACGATGCATGAATTCTGTGGCTTTGTTTTCCTGAGGTCGAGTTGGTAGTGAGGCTGAGCACATACTCCTCAGGCATATGCAGAAACACACAAGCACATACAGTCAGAATACTCAAGCACACAGCTGGCCACACAGATCAACATGCACAGAAAGTATGCCATCCTATATAATGTGCCTTGAAAAGTTAGCTAATGACACTAAGAAGACATCAGAATTAGCAAGACATTTAAAAACTAAGCATCCAGAACATGAAGACAAATATCTACAGGGTTTTTTCAGCAATGTTTCAAGCTATGTGATATTCAATCATGCAATCAAATAAATTTACCAAATTTCATAAAATAACAGGCATGCATGCTCAAAAATTTTTTATTCATAGGGATGCGTTATCAAAAAAGCTTGATTACTGCTGTAGGCAATCATAGATCACATTAAAGCATTTCTAAATTCAAACTACACAAAGAAATAGTGCTGAAAAAATATTTCAAAATTTCTCCCTTGATAACTGCCCACACCTTCTACTCTACTACTGACAGCAATTTGTACCACTTCATTTCTAAAAAGTCTTTGTGGTTTTATTTTGGTGTTCTGGCCTACATATAAAACATTCCTCCCAGACCTTTTCACCAAACCCAAACCTATCCACTCACCTCGAGGACCCTTGACTTTTTTCTTTTATGTGGGAAGTGTTTGAACTCACTGCTTTTAGCAAGTACAACAAAATTTTTAAAGTATGCACATTCCATATGAGAGCAAGGCTCTGGTTCTGTTAACAACTGTGCCATTTCTCCTGTATTTAATGCTGTATATTTCCAGATCTTAAATTCCTCAGGTGATTTTTTTTTTTTTTTTTTCAGGAGACTAGAGGAAAATGGACCAGTGAAGTACTTTAGTAAAATAATTTTCATTTTCCCTGTTCCTAACTCTTGTGGGAGGATATTGGTCCTGCACAACTCTATGAGAGTTATAACAAGCAAAGTCGTTTATTTTTCCAATAGTACTTACTAATGCTCTCGCCAAAGCTCTTACTTCATAATTAGCCAATCAGCAATTAGACAGTTATAAACCTTTTCTCCTATCAGTATAAGACCACTCTAACACACACTGTGCAGACCAATCCCATTGTTCACACACAGTTCATGCAGCGGTAACTTCTCACACTTCAGGACTTTTCCACAGTTTAGCGTTGCAGCTGTCCATTGTTTTCCCTGCTGCCTTGGCACACCTCAGCAGCTTTCTTATCTTTCTCCCAAGGCCTGTTTCTCATCACAGCCTTGCTGCTTTTTAGAGGCTGTGTAGGGCTGACAGGCCGATGCCTCCCACATCTCCCCCTTCTTTGTTTTATAGCTGCACCTGCAAGACTTGTTTCAGAGCTTTATAAATTCAGGTTTAGACAAACTTCAAAAAACACAGTATACCTAAACCAATTCTACAAAAGGCTAAAAATAATACAGCAGTTACAGTTACTAGTTGAAAAGAGTAGGACAGTCTTTGGCTAAGTATTACCAAATCAGGAAGACACAGAATAGCACACTTACTTAATGGGGTACTAATATTCAGATCTGCAATTGCTGAATTGAGGACCCTGGATGCAGCGAGGATTTAGAGTGCCCTTCCTCATAAACTGGAAATCCTATGCAATGTGTCCATCCATAGGTGAGGCATCCAACATTGCTGCAAGCAGGTCCAGCCTCTAAACCAACAGGCCAAAATAACTGGCACTTTTATTTGAGTGAAAACATCTGATTTCATTGCTCTGCTGGGTTCCACCCAGAGCCTGGCCACCACTCAAGGGGGAAAAACAAAGGAGTTTCTAATAAGGTTAAACACGGGTACCAGATGGCCACAGGCAGTCACTCTGCAGTGGAGGGGGGGGTGAGGAGTGGGGGGGAGGGGGGCACTCGGAGAGGCCCGGGGCTGCCGCCACCCACTCCACGCCTTAAGAGTGTCCAAAACCAATTTCCAAGTGGTCGCTAGCTCACTGGCATGCTGATCCCCCTTGGAAATAGCATCCCACAACTGTTCAGCTATTTCAGCTCATTTTGCTCACCTATTTCATCCCAAAGGCTGTGACAGCATCAGCAGGAAGCCCTGGTTTCTGCACTACTTAAGTAACCTTCATACAGAAAATTCATGATAAGTTATCCCTCTCTTAGTGAATATAAGTTATGCCTCTCTTAGAGACTATATGCAGCAGGAGTCTGACAGTGGCTGTCTTCTCTGCGGACATGTTCTGTCCCATGCTACCCCTGACTGATCACCTCTCCCAGGTGATTTTCCATCAATCAACTGTTTTCCACTCTCCCTGTCACAGCCCCACTGTAGACAGTACCTCAAATCGGGGATCCTCCCGCGGCATCTTCTGCGACCTTTATCAGATATATATCTGATAAAGATAAGGAGCTGACCTGAGGCCCCAGATAAGGACATCCGTTTTGTTTCTTAATGTAGTAGAGGCTATGGTAAGTATTTCTCATAAACTCAGAAGTGATAACTGTTATTCAGGGAGAGGTTTGGGCATCAGATATAAAATACAAATATAGGCTTCTAAAGTGGGACATCAAATATTAGAGATCAAAACTGCAGTTTAAAAAAAAAAAAAAGAAAAACAAAAAAAAACACACAAAAAAAACCCAAAACAAAACAAAAAAAAAAACACAAAAAACAAACCAAACAGTTCAGCTGCTGCATACACCTAATCATAGTGTTAGGATGTCAGTATGTCTGGTCTGTCAGGTCTTTCTCTGCCAGGGCTAAGGAAAGCACCTCGTTTCCCAGTGATTATCGAACAGACACAAAGGAAGAAAAGAAAATGCCCAATTCTTTCTCAATGGAGTGAGAGATGTAGATACTTTCCTGTCCAGAGTACTATTCACCTTGAAGTACCTTTTCAAGGTAGAGACATTCCTGTTCTTCTTGATAATGTCACCTGCAAATAACTTCTGAAGTTACAATGTGGTTTTTTGTTATGGGAAATGAAGCAGGGTCCCTATATCTTTCTCCTCTACTGTAATACCAGTTAAGATGTTTATTTGAAACTTTGAAGGCTTGGCCAGATTCTCTTCTGGCCAGCATAAGTAATTTATTCCCTAGACCACTATGCTCCAGCATGGTGGGTGAATAAAAAGACAAAACAAGCAGTCTGGCAGCAGTCAAAGCAAAGAAACAAGGCAGTAGATCAGATCCACATCATGACATGATGATCACCAAGAGCAAATTATGTGCTAGCTTCATCAATTACCTGGTAGGAATGAATTGCCAATTTAAAAACTATACCTTTCTCTTCAGTTGGCTTTGGTGAGATTGGCCCTTAAAGGTGTAGTTAAACTGCTGGCTACAGAACTGTAATGGTTAGGGGCTAGCACTTCTGACTGGTCAATTCATAAACAAAATACCGTAGATTCAGGAGCAGGGGGGGAAGACTGTAAAACAAGCATACTAAAATATCCAGTTCCTGAAAGATGCAATACTCTTCTTAGATAACATTAGATATTCCATTACAAGTCCGTAAGTGGAGCTGAACCAAGGTCTGAATCCCTTGTTTTGCTGAGGAAAAATCAAGCATGTAGTAGCCAAGCTGTGAACATCTTTTCTGCAAGTCTAGGCCCCACAGTATGAATGCTTGCCAAACAGTAGCATGAGTGAGGGAAGAGAAAGAATGTTAACTACATGATGGCCAGACATGGAAATGAAATCAGACTTCTCAAACAGGTTTAAGAGAGACTTTTGGTGTTTATGTATATGCGACGGGCGGAGGAAGCAAGCAGCCGATTCAATGTGAATGCTAGAGCAAGCTTCAACTTTATTGAAAGAAATCACACCTTATATGAGCACTCTACAATCATCATGCATACTACTCACAAATCTATTGGATACATGTAAAAAGCTACATTATAATATCCCAGCCCCTTGTGGTATCTCAGGCATGTCACAACATCTTCCTTCTTCTGGCTTGCTTTCTTTCCCAAAGCCATTCCTTCATCATACACAAGGTCATAATGTACCTCAGTTTCTCTCTTTGTTAACATAACAGTCCTTTGTTATCAAAACTGTACCCTGGGTTTTTTCCTTTGTTTACCTCAGATGGCTGCAATCAGCTTCTGCAGATACTCATGGCCTTGCTCTCTGCAAGCCGTTCTCCAACATGTATAAAATTTAGTTCATTGTGTTTTTTCTGAACATGTCATCTATTTCTTGCACTTTCTGATCTTGAACTTATCTTTCTCTTCCCCCAGATATGGGTATGGGGCCCAATCCTAGCATGAAAGAGAATACACACATTTGAAACTCTTCTCCATCTTGACACACATATATCCAGAGGGTTCTGTGAAAACTGGGTTACAACATATTTTTAAAAATGCATCTGAGACCTTTAAATGCAAATCCTTTCTCTGAATTGAAAAGACTGTAATTGAATCTTTATACAATTTGCACGCATAGAGAAAGCAGCTGACCTATTATCTGAAAAAAATGTAAAATAACATAAAGATAAATGACTTACCATTATACTTCTTCCTGTGATATAAATAGGTGAGCGTGTGCTGATAACAGCTAGTTGGGATTGAAATTGCTCTGCAAATCCAAGGCTATCAGAAGCCCATGAAAAGCTGAGCAAAAATTGTGAGTTCTTGAGTTACTATGCTCACATTTTCTTCTCTCCTTATTCTAACAACTGCTATAATTGAACCAATGGCAGGACTTCTAGGAAATGGAACTATCTTGGTTATCAGTTCAACTAGCTGCCTCAGGAGCAAAATATTGTCCTCATATGATATGATTATGATCTGTCTGAGTTTATCCAGATTCTTTTTTTCAGACCTAGATGATGTTGGATTTGTTCCTAAGCCTGTTTTGTGAAATGTCCTATTATGAAGAAAATTTGTTTGTAATTTTCAAGACAGTTTTTATGTTTCTGAACAACTCCATCCTCTGGTTTGCCTGGTTTAGTTTCTTCTATTGCCTGGTTTAGTTTCTTCTATTGTACCAAGGTTGTTAGTTTTACTCAGTCTTTGTTCATCTGGCTGAAGGAAAGGATTTCATCTCATGCCCTGGATGCTGATAATATCATTGGTTTTCTCCTTTGCAACCTCTCTTCCTTTCGCCTGGGATATCTACAGCGTGCACATCAACTTCACTGCTCCTTTAACCATGACAAACTCTTCAGAAAGGAGAGTCACAATGAAAGCTAGTTTGTTTGGACTGATTCTTTTCTGTAATGCTGGTATAGCTTTGCCTTTAATAGTGTTTGTTGTTTCAAGTATCCTGCTGATTAGGTCTCTCTGGATACACACCAGACATATGCAGAATATTGCAACTGCCTTCAGGGAATCCCAGCTTAGAGGCCCATATTGGTGCCATCAAGTCAGTCTTTTCCTTCCTTATACTCTACATTACATATTTTATTTATTTGGTTTATTTTATTTTATTTTATTTTATTTTATTTTATTTTATTTTATTTTATTTTATTTTATTTTATTTTACCTTTAAGCACGGGGGAAGCCATGTCTGTAGCTGTAATGGCTGACTATCCTGAAGGACACTCTATGGTCCTAATCTGGAGCAACCCCAAATTTCAAGAGCTGCCAGCTAAGATTTTGCACCACACAAACTGTCATGCCAGAACTAGATCTGTGTAAAAGACACTGAGCTAGCCTGGGCTTTCTAGTTTAGATCCAAATTAATTAAACTGAAGTCACCATAGGAATTAAATAATAGAAGCATGAATGAGTTGATTATGGCCCAGCTCTGGAATCATGAAGAAGCTGGGAATTTGCTTTATTTGAATGTGATCTTTATAATGAAGAATTTTGTAAGTTCTCTCCTACTTTAAAAGATGGATGCCTGTAGAATATAAGTACTGTATTTGCTGTACTTTCTTTGGAAATCACCACTGCTTCTCCAAGACAGAAGAAAACCAAGGCCAAGACTCAGACAATAATGTAATCACTTGAAATGGTTTAAGTTACCAATCAGACTCTCATGACACTAACAGAACAGATCTACTTAAGCACAGGCATGCTCAAAGTTTATATGTGAATATGAAGTTTGAAGGCTGTTTCTGGTTAGTACAAGCACATAATGAGGTTGCTAAGGAATTCCCAATAATTTGGGAATTTCTCACTGATTATTTTTGACTGCTGTTGAGTTTATGAGTAGAAAAATATTTGTTGATTCTAAAAGCATCTTTAAGATTCAAGTATGATTCAATAAAGAATGACACATACTTTTGAGCTTCCTGCTATTGCTGTACTAGTAATCAGTGGCTGTGTTCCCAGCAAAAAGATACCCTGAAAGATTTCAAAATCTGAGCTAAGTAGAGCTAATAGGAAAAAAGAATTTCCTTGTCGACGGATAAAGCCTGGGTATCAAGAATAACACCAATATGGTTTGCCAGCTTGATCCAATTTTATTAAGTACAGAGCATCTTACGTACTATTAGAGAGTGATCACATACAGCTAAACAAGCTGTGATTGGTTCAAAGCTACTGTCCACACAATATAACTCATATTTCATTGGTACAACGCAAAAAGCACACACGAAAAGCACAAGCCTATGGACCTCCTACTTGATGTTTCAACTTCACCGCATATCTCTAGTTAAGGAGTTTGCTGAACAATAGCCCTCTATGCAGTGGCAAGCCAGAGAGGAACAGTGAACAGTAGTTCTTTACAGAGAGGCAGCTAGCAGAGAATTACTCATGTTGGTATCAAGGACCAGGTGGCCGTTATCTTCCAAAAATTTCTCCACATTTCCTTAATGTCAGACTTTTCTGAAGAATTAATTGAAAGTTTAATATTTTGGGTTTTACTATGGAGAATAGATTCCTCAAATCAGAAGCATGGATTTGTGTCACTCAGGTCTTGTCAATTATCATTAAATTACTAACATATTAAAATTATTAATTAGTATTATAGAGAAAATAGTTTACCAGTGTTTAAATATATGGCTGGAAATTGCACATCTCCATGATGTGTCTCAATTTTGACAAGATGTGTCCTGTAATATTTTTCTACACAGGAATCCCTTCAGCTTTAGAAATAAATTGCACTTTCCTGGACAAATCACATATTTGAGTCCAAAACTCAGCACATTATTGTTACATCCAGACTGGAACTTTATGATTCTTTTCAGTTCCAGTGGAAGTTTATATTCTTTTGAAGTGATCATCACTGAAATATATATGAAATATATATGATCATCACTGAAATACATATGGCTTGAGCCTTGTGTTGACTAAGCCCATTCTCATTTAAAATATCCATTTTTTGATGCTGTCACAGTCAATCTGTTTGAAAGAGAGTATCTGTACTTAAGCTGAGTTTGTGGAAGAACTGGGTTTTTTAAAATATTTCAAAATACCAATTAAGAATTATTTCTGTTGGAGTCTTTCTTTCCCTTACAACATAAATTGTTTCACACGTGACAACAGTGGCTTGCAGAAGAATTTTGTATGGCATTTAACAGAGCTAGTGAAAATTCAGGACGTGGCAATGACACCATGATGTGACATTTTCGCCATCTGTGAAAAACAGTGATTGCCAGCTTAGCACCATGAAACACATATGTCAAGAGGTTTGGACTATCCTGTGCCCCTCCACAGTGTCCCCTCTCTGGCCTTAGGGAAAAAAACCTCCAATCTCTTTGACCACAGGAACAAGCAAGACACATGGGATATGATCAACCCATAAAACATGTATTTTGTCCTGCTCCAGGCTGAGCTATAAGGTATGTGGCAGCTCAGCCTGAGTACCCTGAACAACGTCTATCACACAGTTTGGTTTACATTACAGTTTTCTATTTTCTCTCTCATGAATAAACAACCTAACCACGTTCCTTGGTGGAAATGAGATTTGAAAGATGTTCCTGTGTTATTTTTCAGACTCTTTAAGTGGGTGTTCCCTCCAGAGCTTTCTTTGCATAGTGTTAAATTAAAAAGTTACCTGTGCATCAACATGCGTTTTGGAACCTAAGAGGGACAGTAGGCAGAAATACTGGAAGGCACCTTATTGGATCAATCCTCTGATAGATCTTTCTTCCTGTAACTGACCAGCTGACTAATTTGTCGTATTAATAAAAATATCTTTAAAAGGCATTTTACAAGCTACTAAATCATTGTTGTTCTGTCTGATAAGTTATTAAATAAGATTGACAAACATTTGTTCTGGGAAAAACCCCAAACATATAATAGTAGGAAAATAATAGTACTAAAGTTAAGATTCTGTGATGTTATTCATTTTATCTGATAGTAAGCATTGTCTTTTTTTGTGGAATGGCTGGAAAACAACAGGCATATTATGAGCAATCCAGAGTGAGTGGCCTCACTGTAACAACAGGCTGTAGCTGTTGTGAAGAATACCTGCAAGGCCAAAGGGCTGAGAAACTGCGTGCATAGCAAAGAGATAAGGAAGCTGCACTGTGGAAAACAAGATGTTTGCCCAGCAGGAGAGCGGCGCGTGGACACCACACCAGGACCAATCATAGAGGGCAAAAGGACGCGTGGACAAGTAGCCTTAGCCTATAAGCAATCAAGTAGCTGCGCGTGTGCTTTATGGTAGTCTATAAATTGCTGTGTATCCTTTAATAAAGTGGAATTAACTTGATCACATTGGTCGTATAAGTTATGTCCGGGACTGCCGCGTCAGCAAGTGGTGCCCAAACAGGGACCGGGACCCTCCTGTCAGTGTTCGCCTGAGCACGAGTAGACGGCCCCGAGGTGCGGACGCCAGCCGGAGCAGGCGCGGCCCTGGCGCCTGGGAAGACGTGCACGCGCAGGTTGGAAAACTCGCCCTAATCAGGTGAGCGGCTGGGGAGGAGATAGGGTCCACGCCGAGCAAAGAAGAAGTGGCAGTGGTTAAACTCCTCCAACATATACTCTCTAAGAGAGGATTATCTTATGAGGGGAACCTGAGGAAGTTGCTGCCATGGGCTGGACAGCACGGGCTAATCCCCACAGCGAGCGCAGCTTTTGAAGTAGTTACTAGGGAAAAAATCAGCATGGCACTGTGAGACAATACTAGTTCAGGTTCCAAAGACAGTGGGAAACTCTCCACGGTGTGGAGATTGACCCTAGAGACTCTGAAAGTGATGAAAGCAGACCGGCAGATCATCGCCTCTGCTTTCGCTGCTTTGTCAGCAGCGACAGAAGGTGCTGGCGCTAAGGATTCCGCTACTACTGTGGCACTGGCAGGGTCCCTGTTCCCCAAGGCAGCTCCTAAAAGGAGGGGTGGGGACACGCCATGCGCAGCACCCGTGCGGCAGGAAATTCAACAGCAAAAATCAACAGATTCGCCGCCACCGCTTGACTCCCCTTTCGAGCTCAAGGGAACAACTGCCAGAGCGCCCCGCCCCGCTCTCACCGCCTTTAGCCCGAGCTCGAGCCCCCCCGCTACCACAGTCCTCGCCTCCGTCACCCCGAGAGCGGTGCGTGAGCAATGTCGTTATGGCTTACAAGATCAGCAGTTGCGAGAACTAATGAGGAAACTAGTAGAGCAACTTCACATGCAAGTAAAGGAATCGGCTCGGGCCTATTCCTACGGCACTGCCGCCACCCCCTCTTGCTATTAACCTGTTTTTTTTCACAACGGTGCGGGGGGGTGGTCAGGAGGAAACAGTGGCCATCGGGGCCGCTGCCATCATCAATGCTCAAATGAGGGGGGCGGGCACTGGGAGGCATGGGGGGTAATGTTAATACAGCACATCGATGGCGGAGAGTTATTCGGGATGCAATGATTGAGGGGCAGTTTAACCAGCTTGGAACAATGTTTCTGGTAATAGTAACCCCACACGGCAATGAATGGGAGGCCTTAGATTGGAAAATTATTAAGGAGGTATGAGAGCAGTCAATTGATGGAAAATCACCCGGGAGAGGTGATCAATTTATACTCTCTAAGAGAGGGGTAACTTGTAATGAAACTTTTGTGCGAAGTTTCCTTAAATGGTGCAGAAACCACGGCTATCCTGCCGATGCTGTCACAGCAAAATGGGCTGAAATAGGTGAACAGTTGAGGGATGCTATTTCCAAGAGGGATCAGCATGCCGGTGAGCTGGCAACTACTTGGAAGCTGGTTTCGCACACTCTTAAGGTGTGAAGTTGGCAGCGGCGGCCCGGAGACTCCCCTAGCTCCCCCTGCCGCGGAGTGACCACCTGTGGCCGAGACCAGCACCACTCTCTCGGCCCATGCCCACCTACTCCTACCCCAC